GTAACATGACCCCAAAGCCTAATCTACATAGCAACAATTCAAATACATGTATAATAATATATGTTTGCAGCTCTGTGGAACCAATATAGTACAGTATTGTTATTTTCCCCTCTTTGACAGCCAACCATTAAATCCCCTATTTTCATCTCCTTTTCTTACCTCTAATATACTTTAATTATAGGCAAACTCTATATCAGTAAATAGAGCTGTAGAAAAAAAATAGACTGAGGTTTCTAAAGAGATCTGAAACTTTGTATTTAACCATTAATATAGTTACTGGAGTTACCTTACCTTTTAAAGCTTGGTTGTGCTTGGGGTTAGGAGCAGAGCAATCAGACTTCTTCCTAATTTAGTATAATGAAAGTTTTAAGTATCTTTCAATATTTTGGGTGGTGAAAGTCCAGTGGTTGAATACTTGCATATTCCTATATATTTACATATTCTTACTATGGAGCAGGTCCATAGCTGGTCAATGTCTAGGTCGGAGGACCGATGGGAACCACACGTACCTTGCGTTCCATGATGGAAGAAACATGTGACATAAAAGTATAAAGAAAATAAACATCATTTTTGTTAACTTTTAAAAAACAACAACACATTTTCAGTTATTGACCCATTTTGGCCCATTACTATTTTATTATGCATTGTAAATTGAATATGCATGGAATTTTAATCTCTGAAATGACTCCACATGTGCAGTCTCATCTTGTTCTGTCACTGTGATTGCAGTTCCAGATATATGTGCAGAAGCCTACTCCTAAGCATGTATAGTTCCCAGCTAGATATAGAAGTTCACACAGTTGATAAAAAGATAGGTATGTGTGTCTTTGTGTGTGTGTTAAAAAAAGAATTTAAAAAATGCTGAAGAAACATCCTCTGACATAGTATTCATGTGTATTAAATGGTCCCCTCAGGTCATGACTATAGAGGAATCATTTAATCTTCGGAAATATTACTCTGAATTAAGCATTTCATAGAGCATCATTCACCTGGCTATTTTAATCACTGCTATTTTTCTATAAAAAGAGGTGCTGGAACTTTCCACAAACACTTCCCTTGTTCTCTCATACTGGCAATGGCGCCCACCAGAGAGGTGCCGGAACTGAGTTCCTATCAAGAGCTATCAATAATACCTACCAATAATATTTCCTAGATGGCTTACAATATAAAAAGAAACATCATACATTGTTTCAAAATACAGTTAAAACTACAAAGATAAATGAAAATAACTACCAAACAATTTATGTTGTGCTGTTATTTCATTAATTGTGTAGAACCTGTTTAGTAATCTTTACACTTCTTTGCATGTGAGAGCAATAGATAGGAAAAATCTGTAATGAAGTATTTTAATGTCATGTTTTTAAAAAATGATTTAAATTGTTGAAATTGTTACTTATGCAATTTTGTTGGGGGGTTTCACTTATCTTATGAAGATAGCCAAAGCATTTTGGTAACTCCCATTAGAACATGCTCCTTATGATAGAGATAAGAAAGAAAATGAAAACATACTAAAGTTTGACCAAAGTTTGTTGGCACTTAAATTCACTTACCTTTCAGGTACTTTTTGGCATAAAAAATGATCATAAAGTTATAACCTCAGTTCTAAAAGTTGCATGTTATTTGTCATTGGTTTGCTCTGTAGAGAAGCTACTTTGATTTCTTGATCGGAGAAAAAGGGCCTTCAATTTGAAGAAGTTCATAGTATGACAAGGTGAAAATGTCATGCAATAATGAGACAGCATTGTGGTATTGAAAGTATTTTTTTAAAGCCAACAGTTTCAAGAAACTCCACACTAAAACGCCAGAAGCACATTTTATTTTTCTTGACCTCCTTTGCTGATTGACAATCTCTAAGTTTCAACATTAAATACCCTTCTAAATTTAGCAGAAATTCATGCTTTGTAGTTCAACTCCTCTTTTGCAGCTTTCTAGAGGAGTGTTTGTACTGTAGTACACTGCAGAAAGCTTTTTACTATCAGACTGCCTGCCTTTCTAAATATATATTGAATGTTTGTCTTTCCATATGGAAAAGCACTTGGTTGGTTTTCTTTTTCAGGGGCAAATTTTCTAGAGTAATTCTGTGAATTATTAATTTACATACAGGTATACAGTGGTACCTCGGGTTAACAACTCAATTCATTCTGGAGGTCCATTCTTAACCTGAAACTGTTCTTAACCTGAGGTACCACTAATGGGACCTCCCACTGCCGCCGCGCCGTCGGAGCACGATTTCTGTTCTTATCCTGAAGTAAAGTTCTTAACCCGAGGTACTATTTCTAGGTTAGCAGAGTTTGTAACCTGAAGCGCCTGTAACCCGAGGTACCACTGTACATGATTTAGGGACGCGGGTGGCGCTTTGGTCTAAACTACTGAGCCTAGGGCTTGCCGATCAGAAGGTCGGCGGTTTGAATTCTCGTGATGGGGTGAGCTCCCATTGTTCAGTGCCAGCTCCTGCCCACCTAGCAGTTCGAAAGCACGCCAAAGTGCAAGTAGATAAATGGGTACCGCTCTGGCGGGAAGGTAAATGGCATTTCCGTGCACTGCTCTGGTTCAACAGAAGTGACTTAGCCATGCTGGCCACATGACCCGGAAGCTGCGGACAAACGGCGGCTCCCTCGGCCTATAGAGCGAGATGAGTGCACAACCCCAGAGTCGTCTGTGACTGGGCCTAACGGTCAGGGGTACCTTTACCTTTACACATGATTTGCTTTTGTCCTTCTGTCTGTCACACACTTGCCTTCCCCCCCCCAAAAAAAATTAGACATGTTAAGCAATGCTAGGAACATAATCAGCTTCTAATTTAAACCATATGAAACAGGATGGGTGGGGGCTCCAGGCACCTTCTTCCTTGTTTGGAAGAAAAATTCCCAAATACCACCCACTACTCTCATCATCCCCTACGTTGTTTTGTAGGGGAAAGGAAGATATCTGAGAAGGGAAAACGTGTAATGGTTTGAAATGATTCTATTGATTGTAGCCTCAACATATCTCCCTTTCAAAATACTTTCTTCTTCCTTTAAAAGGATTTTTAAAGGATTTTTAAAGGTATGGTTGCATACCTTCAGTTTCCTACTGCAAGATCACAATATGGGTAGCACTGGAAAAATGGATGGCAAGGGAAAAGAGCCTAAAATGGATACATTTAGAAGCAGCAGTTAGCTTTGATGAGGAAAGAAGCTTATTGGAAACGGAGCTAGGTGAGCTGGGATGCTGAAATAATAATGGATGGAAGGAGCAGGAATACAAACCTTGTTTCTCAGAGAAGGATGGTCACTTTCAACAATTAAATTCAGGACAAACATGGACACTGATGGTGAAAATATGGGAATAATATAGAAGTTGTATTAAAGATACTGGTGTTGGCAGGCTTTTCAACCCTTGGTATCAGTGCAATTCCTTCTGGAGCAGTGCACATTTTCGATAAAAAGAAATATCATACATGTTCTATCAGAGTAGTACACTGATAAGCACTGGAAATACTTTTGTATTAATACATAGGAGTTGACATTCGGGCAAGAGGTCTATACCTTCCAACATGAAGAGAAAATGGTGCTTCTTACTAGTTTTGGAATGTAACAAAATTATTTTTGTGTAACAAAATTCTTAGAAGGGTGATTTCAGTATTCACAATATGTATTTCATATATAAAACCTGAGATTCATACAGGAAAGCATTTCAGCCCTCTAGAATAGTTTTGATAAGACAAGATGATGAAAGACCTGTTCCTCTTAGAATTCTGAATCACAATATGATTGCAAATTAAATAAATGCTCCAAATCAGTTTAAGGGAGATGACTGATTAATTTGTTTGAAACAAAATGCTCTGAAGGCAATAAGTGAGCAGAAAGGAATTTTATATTTCTTTTGTTGGACAGGAAAGAAGCACAGCTTGATATTGTGTAGTGATGAATTCTGTATTTCAGTGTAATATTCTTTTGCATACGAACTGGCACATTCCATTGCTCAAGCTTTATATTTTAATTAAGTGGCATATTTCAAATATCTAATACTGAAAGGAGCACTGAGGAAAAAGATATCATTAGGTTCTGCCTCCTGAAGACAAAAGGTGGGTGGGAGAAATGGCATGTTACTACAAGAAATAGCAGCCCTGTTCATGAGCTACCATCAGGTATTTAAGTTCTCAGAGGGTTTTTTATGCCTCAAGGCAAAATAGTGGCACAGTCATTTGTGCAAAACCCATTTCATAAATTTTAAAATCTACAATAAATTATTATTGTGTCATAGAAATTGCTTTCTACCTGTTGAGTGAAAATTCACATAATTGCTTTCTCTGTTATATTCATATATGTTTCTGTGCATAGGTGCCAGCTCCTAGGGTCCAGGGCACTTTCAGCCCCCTCATTGTTTTTTGGGTGAGATACCCCTATCAAATGTTGTGCAGTGGGTGCACACCTTGCTCAAGGCTTTCAAACACAATCTTCCCTGCATGAGGAAGTTTACAAAGGGCTGTTTGAAAGTGCTCTGCTTGCTTTCAAAGTTGCAACAAATCACTGTGATGCCAGGTGATTGACAGGTGGGCATTGCTACCCACCTGTCAACTTTGGCCTGCAAGGGGTGGTGAAGATAAAGTTCTGGTGTTCTGGCCAGAAAACATTTCCCACCCCTGATGTATTCGCTTGTTGGCATTAAGAGAGCATACCAGCAATTTGTGGTAGATTATACCCAGATAATACAAACCTGTGTGTGTTTACTTGGAAACAAGTTGTACTTATTCAGTGGGAATAACTCCCTAGTTTAGGATTGTGGGTTTCATGCTGTAATTTTCTTTATTGGCCAAGATCTCTCAGCTAAGATATCAGTCATCCTGTTAAATAATTACCTTTTGTTGGTCTCTCTCAAACACAGTTCAGTTACAGCTAAAAGTCAGCTTTATGTTGTTTGATTAGTAGTTTTGCTCCTGTTACTTACATACCTGATTATGCATGTATAGTATTATACAAATATATAAATTATATATTATCTGTTTAATCCTTTTACAGGTGGACTTAAATTGAATGTAGATCAGAATTTCAAGTAATCTGGCCTGATGTGCATACAGAAGGAATGAAGCATGGATGTGAAAGAACGCAGACCTTATTGCTCCCTGACAAAGGGCAGAAGAGACAAGGAACGGCGTTACACAAATTCTTCAACAGAAAACGATGAGTGCAGAGTTCCTACACAGAAGTCCTACAGCTCAAGTGAAACTTTGAAAGCTTTTGATCATGATTCCTCCAGATTGCTGTATGGAAACCGGGTAAAAGACTTAGTCCACCGGGAATCAGATGAGTATAGCAGACAAGGTAGGCATACTATTCTTAAGCAGTTAACAGATACATTTGTATACCAGTATGCAGAATTCATACTTTAGGTGATCCCTTAATGTCAGTCTTATAAATGGTTCAGGAATGTTTGAAATTTCTCTCATAATACTATTGCATTTGCTTTACACTCCTTTAACAAATGGCAGGGGATTTAGACGTGATCATTACTTTAAAAAATACTCTGATTTAATCTCTAAGGTTTGCTGAGAATGTCCTCTTTCCTATGTATATTCCAAATCAAATACAACAAAGGCATTTGTTGGAACATTTGTGAGATTCTTATTTTGTGGTTTAGAAATACTAATGCAATGTACTCAGTCCCTGAAAGCAACAAGCAGCATGGGCTTCAGCCTTGGTTCCTTGCCAGCCCACACAGCTGGTAGGACAACTGCAGAACTATTTTGACTTGCCATATTGTTGTGGAGCTGTTCCAAGGAAACAAAGTTCCTGTCTTTTCCAGTTCATTTTTAACACTGCCACTTGTGAGATTTAAGCACCTTTACAGGAACATATGTATATAGGCATGAGCAAATGGGACTCGTCAACCTGTGAGGGTAGCCCATCTAGGAGAAGGAAAACTCTAATCCTAAACCTCTGCTACCTTGTGGGATATCTTTGGGAGAAGGAAAGGCTAAGGAGTAAGCCCTGCGCTATCCAGAGTGGAGTCCCTAAGACGGTTGGATGGTCCCTTGTAAGCCTCCTTCTGGCAACTCCTGCATCCAAGCTGGTGCCAAATATATTGCTCTGTTTTCCTTTGGAGCACATCAGCAAGGCCAAGGGGGTGTGTTCTTGTCTGGGCAGCCCAGAGCCTCCATACACACTGCCCAGGCTTCCTCCCCAGGGAGGTCACTTTGGTGCTGTTAGTGCAGCAGTTTGACTTTACCCCTAGAAGTACCTTCCATTGTCTCTTGAGACAGGTGGGTCCCAACAGCAGGAACATTGACAGGCTGTGGAAAAAAAGCACCTTGCGACTGCTTCATTATTACAGAAGTACTTTCCCCAGAAGATTTACCGAAATATGAACTTCAACGTCTTTGGTTCAGGTTCTGTCATAAATCAGTATGGATAAACCAGGGCTAGGGAACCTGTGGCAATACAGATGTAATTTGCTGACATACAGTTGAAATACTGAGTGGTTTTGGTCTTATAAAGCAATGCATAACTAGACTGTTGGAAGACGGCTTCAACAGAATTGTCATTCTTCAGGATATTCCTGGCCTTTAGATAAATGATTTTAGACTATAATTAGGATTGATGTGGCATTACCTGAGGGTACTTTCAGATGCTTCCATTGTAGCCTGGCTCTATCTGCAATACTGCAGTTCTGTTCACTTCAGGAGGCATATAAGCATGGCAAGTTCTAGTAAATTACCACCATTCCCTTGGATGGTGTTCAGCTAATCCACGTTATTTTCTGGTCAGCCAGAGGCAACTTGATCAGGACAGAGCAGAATGTCAGAAACGCTTTTGAAAAAGGACTTGCACCACTTCTCTCTATAATAAGGATAAGAATTAAATTTGTATAATTAAGCTTTCCTCTTCAAAGGATATACAGTCATACCTCAGGTTACAGACGCTTCAGGTTGTGTTTTCTCGGGTTACGGACCCGCCGAAACCCGGAAATACCTGAACGGGTTACTTCCGGGTTTTGGCGGTCACACATGCACAGAAACTCCGAATCACAACCCGCTCATGCACAGATGTGCCGCTGCGGGTTGTGAATGCTGCAGGTTGTGAACGTGCATCCCGCACGGATCACGTTCGCAACCTGAGCGTCCACTGTAAATATTGGAATTGCCTTGAATTATTTTACTGAATTATTGATTCATTAATTTTAAACTAATATAAGAATATAAGGGCTCCTAGATTAGGCCAGTGGACCACCTAGACCAGCATCCTCTTCTCACAATGGCCAACCAGATGCTTGTGGGAAACTAGCAAGCTGGATTCAAGCACAATAACACTCTCCCATCATTTCATTTCCAGCAATTAGTATTCAGAAGCAATTATAAATAGTTGCATTTTATTTTTAAAGAAAATTTGTGAGCTACTGTTGTGTATTAATTATCAAGGTGGCATACAGTTGAAAGTACAAAACAATACATTAACTGGACAAATTAAAAAATATATTTGCTGGCATCACGAAGAAATCAGAATGGGCTTCCAGGCAAGCCTTTTCTGGGCAGGGCATTCAAAATTAGAGACACCACGGCTGAAAATATGCTTTCTCTAACCACCAACCTGAAATGTTGGTGCGACTTGGTGAGGGTTTCCAAGAGTATAGAGTTTGGTCATGTTCATGTGGTGAAAGGGAATCTTTTAGACAGCTGGTGTAGTATATTTATATGTTGTTTTTCCATGATTACCAATGTCTAAAGCATCTCACAATAAGCATTACAGTAATCAAAATGCAGAACGATATTTGAAAACAAATAATTACAAATATCAAATAGATCAAAATACAACAAAGTAAACAGTTGGATAAACCTACGCATAATTTCAATGGGTAGCATTCGGCTACATTTGACTCAAAGTAGACGCGCAGAAATTAATGGGCCTAACTTAGTCATGTTCATTCATTTTAATGCATCTAATCTGAGTCACACTTAATATGTAACAAGTATTATATGAAAATCAGAATTAAGAGTAAAATATAAATAGCTAACTTTTGTTATTTGTAGTTGCTAGTGCTGTTTTTGCTGCTTTTTCAGTGGCCACAGAAGCCACAGCAGCCAGATTTTAAATAATTTTGTTATCTTCTCACCAGCTCATCTCAAAAAGGGAAAAGCTGGGGAGGTGCAATGATGTTACCCTCCTCCCTGCCCAAGCTATTCTGGTTGGTGCTAAACCATGGAGAGCTCTATAGGTAACTGTGCAGCATTTTGAATTTTAACTGGAAATCATCATTGCTTTATAACAACTGGTGATAGATGCTCTCTGTAGTTGGTCACAGTAAACCAGATGCTGCATTTGTCGGGAACTGACCTTTCTGATAAATCTTCAAAGCCACCCTCCTATACAACACATTGCAGTGGTACAGTGTAGAGATAATTAGGGCATGGACAGCAGACCATACTATCTGTGTCTGGGAGAGGCTGCAGGAGGCACACCGATCTTTGCATAACTGGTGAAAGGTACAGCTTACCATGCATGCCACTTGGGCAACCAGTGACAACACTGGATCTCTCAGCAGATGCCAACAATGTGCAACCCTATCTAGGATTGTTCTTTATTCAAATAACCACCTACTAACTATCCTTTTATCTAGATTGAGCTTCAGTTTATTGACACTATACAATCCATTACTCATCCCAAAATTAAAGGAAATTAAAAAGAATATTTCTATGCAGCGTGGATTGCTGTTTTGAGCAAGTTCAGAAAAACCATGTATCTATAGATCTTCTATTGCTTTTCTTAATCAGACCTGTATGTGCATTTGTCGTGCTGGATTATAATGTGTGCTTAAAGAATTAATAGGGGTATTAGTGTAATATGGTAGAGAGTAGTACTTATTTTTTCTTACTGTACCATGTTCTTCACAAAAGTGTATAATTCCTTTAGCTATCAGTCAGCCAGTATACATGGGGTTTTGGCAGCTGAACTTGGAGTGAAATGGCAGTTCGTGGAGTATTATCTATAGTGGCATATGGGTCTATCCAGTTTATTTGTTGGTCTTTTAAAAGCACTTGGTCTGGCCTATTGGCTTCTTTTAATGCTTGCTGTTTTAGCAGCTGTGATTACTACTGGTAGCTTTGAGAAAGTTCAGATTACCCTTGGCATGCTTAGATAATGACAGGGTCAAGGAGCATATTTTAATAAACATAAAAGTATAAATCATTCTAGCATTTGAAGATTAACCTCTTTACACTGGGTCTTCTTCAGATAGAGATTGCATTTGGTATATTGCAAAGAAACAAAGTACGCTGATATGGCAATAAGTAAATGTAATAATTTTTACATTAATATACAATCAGTTGGAGCTGTTCCATTTAGGTCCTGCTTTTGGGCTTCCTGCTGGTTGGTCACCAGAAGAAATAGGCCTTTGGTCTGAGCCAGCAAGGCTCTTCTTCTATTCTAATTAAATACTTCTCTACATCACACAATGTAGTATGATTTATTTTTATTTTTTTAAAGTATCCAAGGTGCCACAGTACCTTGTCTGCCGGTCAAATAAAAGCTGAAGTAGGCAACTTGATGAACTTCTGTTTGTATAGTTTCTGATTCTGGGTGGAAATTTGGCACTATGAAATCATTACTTAAAGCTCCTTTTTGTAGTGTATACGAGCTTGTTTATTTTTTTACAAAAAGTTTTAAAGATAGATGTGATGATGATAAAGAAATGTAAATTACTTTCTACTATCTAAGTGTGTAAATACAATGTTCTGCTATCAAGGATAAATTATGCAAATTGATTTGCATTAATGCAATTTTATTTTGCATATTTATGATAATTCCAATATTTGAATTTTCAAAGAATTTACATTGAGGTTACAGGACAGCTAACTGCAAACCTAGTGCCATGTATTTGAAAACAAGCCCATCATCTGCTTCCATTGCTGTATTTTACCTACCCTGTTCCAAATCATAATTTTTAAAAATAATAATCACTGAACTGACTGTCTTTTTAAGGGCTGCAAAAATCAAAAACATTAATCAGAACTTGAGTGTTTAATTAATGTGAATCCAAAGTTTATTACTTTTTAAATATTAGCTACTCAACATGAATCATCGGGAGAGCTATATGATTAATCTTATTCAGTTGCTATAAATGTCAACTGCAGCATGAAAAGATTTAAATTACCATGGTTTTCTTTCTTTTAAACTTTAAATGCCTGTATTTAAACACACCACTTAAACAAATCTGTCTTATCATTCTTACATACCAAATGTATATGTCCCACCTTCTTTTAAAGATTTATAGGCTGATCTCAACCACTACTTGAAAGCAAGCCCTTTTGAATTCCTACTTCCTTTGTAAG